CCCAGCATTGGTTCTGGCCAGCGGGAAGGGTGGGAAGGGTTCGAGGTTCTGGGTTCGAGAAAGTTATGTTTGCCTTTTTCGGCCTCCTGCCGGACCGTCACAAACGAATCGGTGGTGAAACATTTGACCAGATGGACCCCGTGAGGGGTCTTGGGACCAATTTTGGGCGGATTTGATTCCATCCTGGGATGTCATCCAGTTCAGACCCCCCAGCGGACTCCAACGTCCTTCCTCATTTGCTTGCGCCTCCTTCCCTTTCTTTGGGCTGCGACTGGTCGCACGCGTTGGACGGCCGTTTGATTTTCGGCTGTCGAGCGCGCAATGTATGACGAAACCTCAAGCATGCCGTTTTATTTGATCGCTTCGCTCAATCCGCCGGCTTAGTTCACATCACTGTGGCTGCGTAGTGGTGTGCTCGTGATCAGCGGAAACGGTAGGACAGGTAGGACGGTCTTCGAGTCGTTTTGGATATGCGACTCGCACCCTGTCGAAGAGAGCTGATGGACTGCCCCACCGGGCGCCAAGATGGCTCAAGAGAGCTACAGCAGAGTTTCAAGACACGAAGCCGTCGAGAGGAGGAGGAGGAGAGAACCTCTGGACGGCTTCGTGTATATGCTTCTTTGGGAGGCCTGTTTGGGGTCTCTTGAGAGGCCTCTCGGGGACGTCTGGGAGGTATTTGGGGGGCCTCCTGGGACCTCTTGGGGGCCTCTCGGGGGCTTCGTCGGGCCTCTTGGAACCGCTTGGGAGCCTCTTGGGGCCTCTGGGGGCCGCTAGGGGGCTTCTTGGGGGCTTCTTCGGTGCCTCTTGGGGGCATTTTGATGGTTTCGACGGGACTTTTGGGGGCTCCCTGCGGCCCCGTTGGCGTTTCTTGGAGCATCTTCGGGGCCTCTTGGGGTATCTCGGGGCTCTCTTGGGAGCCTCCTGGGCCGTCTCAGGGTGATTCTGGATCTCGGACGCACAAGGGAGAAATGCTAAAAATGCACGTTCCCAGAAGTGAATAGAAAGATTGTTGCTTGTCGAGGCTACCCTGAGAGGCCTCTTAGGGACCTCTAGGGCCGTCTCGAGGCCATCTTGAGCTCTCTTGGAGCGCTCTTGGACCGTCTTCGGGTCTTCCTGCATCTATCTGAGGCCGTCTTGGGGGCATCGTAGGCCGTCTTGGAGGCGTCTGGAGCCATCTTGAGCGCTCGTGGAGCGCTCTGGGATGCCTGGAAGGCCGCACCTGGGAGCGAAACCATCTCTGATCGGAGTCTACCGGGACCTTGCCGGGGGGTCTTGGCGGTATTTCTCGTCCAGGGACCCCCAGGGGCGGCCCCGCGCGCGCGAACTATACATATATATATATATATATATATATATATATATATAAAAAAACAGATCCTTATTCCCAGAGATCTCAGCACGCCTCTGGCCCATTGGGCCTGCGAATTCTTGGCTGCCGAGTCGGCAGCTATGGCGCAGCCGATGCCGCTTTATTCTCGGCCGCCGAGTGCGAAACCGATGGCGAACCAAGAGTGTGCCATTGTATTCTCGGCCGCCGAGGACGCAACCACCTACGGCGCAACAAATACAACCTCCGTCGAGTAAAACAACTTACCGCGCAACCAATAGCAGACAATGTTATGTTCCGCCGCCGAGTGCGCAACCTATGGTGCAACCAATGGCAGGCCGTCATGTTCTTGGCCGCGGAGTGCGCAACCAGTCGCAGGCCATTGGGTGAGCGTCCGCCGAGTGCGCAACCTCTGGCGCACCACGCGGATGACGCGACCAATGATTGGCGCAGCCCACGGCGCAACCACGCAACCCATGGATCGCACAGCCAATGGGGCAACCCATTGACCGCGCAACCAATGGAGCAACCCAGGGAGCAACCCATGGCGCAACGGATTGCGCATCGGCGCAATCAACGGATCGCACAACCCATGACGCAACCCGTGGGCAACCCATGGATCGCCACTCCTACTGAACGGCGCAACCCATTGATGGCGCAACGCGTACATGGCACAATCCATGGCGCAACGGCGCAACCCATAGATCAAACATGGCGCACCGTATGGCACAACCCATGGATCGCGCAACATATGATGCAACCCGTTGATCGCTCAACTTCTGGCTTGCCAAATGGTTGGCGCACACCCGTGGCAGTGTCTATCGGGCAAGACACGCCCGAACCACGCTCCCCGCTTGGGCTGCTGGCGGAGAGGAGGCCAAGCGGCGAGCTGTCTCGTGTTTGCTCTTCGATCCACCTGCGGACCCGGGGGAGGGCTCCTCCGAAGTTGCGGTGCGAGAGCGGAGAAGGCCCAGTCGCAGCCAGCTCTGGCCAGCGGCTGAGGAAGAGGAGGAGGAGGAGGAGGAGGAGGAGGAGGAGGAGGAGGTGGAGGAGCAGGAGGAGGAGCAGGAGGAGGAGCAGGAGGCGCAGGAGGCGCAGAAGGAGGAGGAGGACGAGGGAGCAGGGGGGGGGGGCGGTGCACCCTTGTCATTGGGAGAAGGCGGACTGGGGAGGGGATGGGACTCAGAGTCGAGGGCGCGAGTCTCTTTCACAGCACTCTCGTGCAGAAACGCGCTCCTGCGTGCGCACCTTCGGCCACCGACTGACTGGCGCTGCGAGCGCCGACTGGGCGCCGGCACTGCACCTGCAACGAGAGCCACATGGCCACAGACATGCCGAAGGTACAAATTTCGTCGGGGGGTGTTGGCACGAAGCCGGGGATGGGGTCAAGAAACGCCCGGTGTCGGCGCTAAATAACGAACCACGAAGACCGAGTTGCTCATTGATTGATTACTCCAGCCTGGTCGCCCACGACTGTGAGGACGGCCCGGACCATCACTGGCGGTCAGAAGAACAAGCTCAAGCCCCATGTCCCGACCATGCAGGCCACGTCCCTGGCCGTGCCCCACATCATCTCGTGATCCCCAGGCCGGAAAGCTCGCGGAATAGGGATACCAAAAAGATCTACGTATCCACGTGGGAATCTCGCTTCACCCACATGGTTCACTGGAAGTGTCCGCCACGCGTGAACCCTCTTCGAAAGCCTACCCCATGGCAGAGGCGAGTCGGTGATCTTTGTTTCTGGATCACCGTCGTTTATCGCTTGCACCAGCTTGTCCTTGTACGAGCTTTTGTCGAAGACGGCCGGGAAGTCGGAGCCGCTGGCCACCGAGAACCGCTGACCCTTCTGGGCGTTGGACAGGCCATGTGCCCCCGGCGCCAGCGGGGCAGCGGCGCCACCCCCGCCAGCCTTGGCGCCCTGCTCCCGCGCGAGGTTGGCGTCGTCCGGGTCCACGCGAGCCAGCCGCTTGCGGGCAGTGGCCAAGCGGGGCGCCCGTTCCTCTTCCGAATCCTCCGAGTCACGATGGCGTCGGCGACCTTGCCACTCACCGCGATCACCCCAAGACCATGAAAAGCCTTTGCCGCGGCCGTTCTCCTCGCCGCGGCCCTTGCCGCAGTAGTACTGGTCGGACAACGTAGTTGTCATGACGGTACCCATCGCCTCGCCTGTCTCAGCGCCCATCGTGTTTTTTTCCCATATTTGGCACGGGGCGCAAGCAAAGCCAGGCAAGGAAGACGTGCCGTACCTTTTGAATCGCTGGCGACCACGGCAGAGAGAAGACGAGGGCCCGAAGCAGAGAAAGAGGGTGGTTGACCAATCAAGCACGAGTCCGAGCACCCAGTACGCGCAGAAGCCATCTGACAACATCAGGGCCTGGGACCGAGCCAGGCGAGACGTGAACAGAGAGCGTAGAGCACCAAAGTGACGATGGAGAGCCCCCGCCCACGGGACAATTTTGCACCGTTATCGGGGTAAGGACCCGTCGAAAAGCCAGCCTTGGTTCGGGCTTGAAGGAACGATCGTAACTTAGCCCAAGTAGCAGTAAATATCGACGTCCGGCCAAGTAACGAAAGAATGGTCGTCGAGCTCACAAGTCGGATAAATCCGGGCCGAGTACGACACCTCCTGGGACTTCTATAAACACTATCTGCACAATTCGGTCGACACACTCAGGACATCATCCACGTAGCGTCGACTCTGAATTTCGAAGTCTGCCCCCCGTCCCAGAACGGGGCGAAAACTGTTCTCCACGAAACGCTCCGGCCCCTCCTGGGACAGGACCTCCTAATGCGCAAGCAACACAACTAACGCGACACCCGACAGCACCTCTCCGATCGGCAGCCTGTGAAGCTAAAAAATCAGGCCGCATGCGTTCGCGACCGATAGCCAGATGCACGCTTGAAGTGCCTGGGCGACATGCTCGACCGTTATCCTAGAAGACGACCTCGGCAGCTCGTCCCCCACGGCCACCCTGGTTACGACACGCCTGCTTCGTTTCACCAGCACGGCGCACGAAGGAATCGCCCGGGGAATTCTAGATATCAAGAAGAACCACGCCGTGATTACGCGATGGGCCTGGCACTGCTCGCGCTCCTGATCCGCGTCAGCTGTAACGCGAGGCTCACGAGTGAAAGGAGCGCGATACCTCCTGCGACTGCCCGCGACACCTTCCGGCAATTCACGCCGGATGCGGGCCACCTCAGTAGCCACAGCGCCCGCGTGGAAAGTTCCATTCCCGAGGCCAGCACGATTGAGAAATGCCCAGACAGCGCGAGCGATGATTCGGAAGCCCCCACAGATCTTGGTGAACCCGCGGTGTCAATGACCCGCCGCATGCACGAGTGGGCGGGCTTGCAACACTCCCATGCCCCTTCCGGGGTAAAGCACTTGGATTTCACCGAGGGAAGCAATACTGGGGGTCCATGCTTGCGCCCTCGACCCGACCTGGAACGCCCATTCCACAACCAAGTTGGCAGGACGCACTTCGCGCGGGCTACCAACCACATGATGCGCGGTAGGCCCTGTAGGCCCTGTCTGGGTCCTGCATCGCGCTGTGAAGAAGATATATCGCCAAACCCGGCCATTTGCAGGCCCAAAGCCAGTTTTGGCTTTTACCATCGGCAAAGAACGCCTCAGTCCGGACCAGAATGGCGACAGCACCCATGAACTCCT